TTAATATTTACTTGCCGATTTATTCGAAAATTGACAACGTTTGTGAATAACTTTAGTACTCGGCTGAACTCCATGTTATTCTTATTTACCAAATATAAAGTAAACCTACTTGAATATATTAAAGTAACACAAACAGTAAGTTATTCTTTGAATCTCGCATGTCGCAACTTTAAATTGTTCGGAAAATTATACCCAAAGGAACTCTTTAGGAATCAATGTTTTAAAACATAAAGGCAACAAAAACAAGATTGTTGCAAAGCATAAATATTTCTTTTAAAAGGGTAGGTGTACTAAGCTTGCACTCGGTATAATCATCATCTGCTCTGCTCTAATTTACATATATTTTAATACAGTAGAGTGGGGCCGAGCCTGATGAAGTTCCCTATGTTTCGAAATTTGGTTTTTCAGTGTACGGCTCCTGGATTAGTCGTGGCGCTCTGATATGAGAGACTTGTATAACTGAATGAAATCTTTTTTTCAGCTATATTTAAGATTTGAAAACAAATCATATACGCGGAAAATAAATTATTTTTACGCAAATAACGTCAGCGTAAACTTCTCTCTCGAATACTTTAAAAAATGCATAAACGGATTACATGAACATTGATGAAAATACGCTCACTAGTAGCGAAAAGTAACAAGCGCTTGAAAAATTCATCAGTCCTGTTAGGTCTAATTTAGCTTTAAGGGGCCTTTGAGTTCATATTGGACCTGTTGTCGCTGCGATCTATAAAATCTTTTGTCACTCGCCGCCAAACTCATAGTAGCTTCTTTAGTCTGGTAGCTTCTAAGAAGTCTATGATGTGCCTGGCTCTCAGAGCTTTAATATCATCTGGGCTGTTAATGTGTCGTTCTGGTGTTTCACGTACAGTACCTGCAAATCTCAGTGTTACTTAATTTTTTCAATTTTAAAGTGAAATTGGCGTCTGCTTAGTTTGTAGTGCTCAGTTAAGACCCGTACAATCGCTCGGGTGTTAGGTCTGTTTAGCTTAAAAAGCTCTGCAGTTAATTTTTGCGAATATTCTTCAATAGACAAGAGACGTACCGTAATTTAATCCCGGTTGATTCTGTCAGTATTTTTTTGAATCACGTTGGAGGTCGTTCCTTTGATTTGCGATGGTTCTTTGGTATTCCGCAGAAAGGTTCTGGGCCCATTTGTAGGCCCTATGCTCCAGTTATTGCCAATACATTTGCGATTTCATTTCCTTCGATATCGGAAATACCTGGTACCCATTTGAGAAGAATTTTATTCCTTTGCCCCAGTTCATTAAGTTTGTCAAAACAGTCCTTTACCAGTTTTGAACTTGTTGTGTTCAATTGTATGTAGTTTCGTTGGTGGTTGTATCTGCACATTAGCGTTTGTACTTTGAAAAATAGCATTTGTACTTTGAAAAATAGCATTTGTACTTTTTCTAAATCTCAGTTTTTGCTATATATTCCACATCCTACATTATGATCTGTTTTGGAGCCATCCGTGAACCAAAGTAGGCTTCTTGTTTTGCCGAAGTTATATTGTTCTGAAAATTTCTCCCTGCTTGGTATTTCCACTGAGTAATTTTTAGTGATGTTACAAAGTTGTGGCTTGCATCCGTAATCATTGTCAGTGGTCTGTTACCAAGTACTGTTTAACGTAAGGATCTCAATGCTTGGGATAGCCACTGTTTTTGTTCAGAGAGCTAGCTTTCGCCTCTTTCATTACCTATGTATAAATGTAGGGGTGGTAAGCTCAGCAAGGCATTTAGAGCTGCACTTGGCAATAATAATAATAGGTCCTGGGTGGCTCAGTAGTTTGAGTAATCGCCGGGATTGCGAAAGGTCGTGGGTTCTAATCCCATCTTAGAGTACCTGTGGCTGGTGGATTTCTTAAGCATTTTTCATTAAGAATAGAAAAAAATCTATACTAATATTAGAAAGAGATAAAGTTTGCAACTTTGTTTATTTGTAGGGCGTAATTTTCCGAAATACTGTTCCTATTATGAAAATTCTTTAACTTACGGGAAGATACATCATACGCGGGTAACAAAAGCTAACATTTTCACGGGCTATATATACTTTATAAAAAAGTATACATTCTGAAAAACGGAATCATTAAATATACTAATTTGTATCTTAAACTCCTAATAATAGGACTTACTTTTGTTTGAATGAAATGAACTTCATCTTTAAAAGAACTTTTCTACATCAACAACTTCAAAGAAAAACATCGTAACTCAATCTCAAGAGAGTTCGGAGTAGTTGAAGCAGCAAACAGAGAAGTGCATTTTGTTTGTTGTACCTTTCGTTTTTACTACGATATTAATTTTACTTTACATTTGAGTACATGTTAAACAAATTATAATTGTATTTATCTGTATAAAAATAATTCTTAAGTGTGTTGTTAAGTGCTCTACTTAAACTTTTTGTATATACTTATATTATTAAGCTGAAAGAATTAATTGTTTGTTTGTTTACAACGGACTCTAAAACTACTGGAAATTTTTTTTAAATCTTTCACCTGCGCGAAGCTACATCATAGGCGGATAACATTGACTAATTTACACGGATGAAGTCACGGATAATAGCTAGTTATGGTTTAGTACATGATGTAGCTTCCTGTAATAGAAAGAATTTCATTAATGTAATTCCGAAGATTATCCTATGCAAACAAACAAACAAACTAAGTTAGAAACTTTATCTCCTTAAAATATTAGCAATGACTGATAGTAACTATGGAATACGTATTTTTTGCTCTAATCTATTTGGCATAAAAGCGAGATTGTTATATAAAGTTTTCCAAGTATTACATTATAAAATTTAAATTACAAAACGTAACATTGTATACGCCATTCGTGTTACAGCCGATAAAATCGATGATTTGTTAACTTAAACTACAAAGTATTTGTAGCCGAACCATAATTTATGTTTAAGTGTCGGTTATGAATTTTATGACGATTTATCTTTACGTAAGGCGATAAAAATGTGACATAGAGGCAAGTGTCCTTTTATAGACTTTATTATATTACCCATGATCAATTTAAGGATTGCTGTAATCATTTTAATGGTTTCGTAGTCTAAGCAACAAGGTAAGCTTTAGTTTCTCCATGTGTACGTCCAGGATGCCTTTTTAAAATCGAGGAAATACGTTAGGCGCTGTCTATGTTAGATGGCAAGCAACTGGGGGTGTGTAGTACTCTCCTCCGTGAACTCACCCGGCAGTGAGCTGTCCAGTGGGTCCCCGTAGGTCTACCCACCAAAACCCCTACGGTGCATGAAGATGAAACCCGGGAAGCCGTGGCCGCGTCACCAAGACTCTCACCTCTTATTGGACCAGTGTAGAGATGCATAATTATATACATAGTGAAGTCTTTATGAATATCTTATTTTACAACGAAAGTTTATTATTATATTTAAAAGTTTGTTTTTTAAATCTTTTATTTTGCGTTTATTTGTATATTATACTGTAACGATATTATACCTATATTATTATAGTTGTTACCATTATCGCTTATTTCATTTGACTGTGTTTATATTCCTTAACTCTTTAAAAAAATAATAAAAAATGTTTGTCTATTGTTACGTAAATATTTTCCGCATTGTCAATTGTTTTACTATTAATCACGGGTTCCAGTTAATTAAATTCCTTCATTAACATTATTATGTTACGATTTCAAACTCAAGAGCGAATATCTCTGACAATTCACTGCGTATCACCATTTCATGAATAGTTAATTTAGATACGCAACGTGACATGATAGCTACCTGTTCATTAAACCACAGACGGGAATGGAATTGCTGATAACTTACATCTTCATGGTTTAAACAGTTATCTTTTGTACATAATTTATTTATTTATTTACTCAAGGCACGTCAACATCACAAATACAAAATAATTCAGTAAACCTTTTAAATGACACTTATCTAGCATTTACATAATAAAAATAGTGTCATAAATTGCGAAACTTTATTGTTTATATGTATTTTTTGTTATGCATATGTTTAACTGTGTAATTATAGGTTAGGGTCTATGATTAGAAACTTTACAATTTGTTAGTTTTTAATAATAAAAAATGAATAAATAAATAACGTTAAAAAAAGTAGTTGCAAAATATTTATGAAATTGTTATAAGAACAATCTTTTATTTGCAATGAGCAATGCAAGACAAGTTCATAACATCAATGGCGAAGAGAGAAATTGTTTATATTAAGGTTGATTCTCATGTGTCGATTTATCTAAAATTTTGTTTTAGGAAAGATCAGAGAAATCAATGTTGTCAGAAAGCAAATTCTCAGCTTGAAGATTTTGCTAACGATAAAAAAACATGCCTAGACTGTACAAACAAAATCAAGCGACTATTTCTATGAATTTGTGCTATATTTGGTGTGGCATTCTCGTACATGGTTTTCCAGGAAAATTAAAGAAACAATTTTTTTTTTGCTATAATTTTCTACAGTGGATAATGTGGTAATTCTTATTTATAAAAAAAGGTTATGTTTTCCTTTGTCAAATTAACGCCATTTCGAAAATTGTTTCATGTGCCGAAATAAGTTATATGAAACTTGTTTTCAGTGTCATGTAACGACTTTCGTAATGTAAAATTGGCTTAAAAGAATATTAGTTACCTTTTCTGGGAAAAAACGATAAACGTAAGTCCAGCGATGTGGCCTGAAAATGGGTAAACTAACACGTGATTCTACGCAGGACTTTATTATATATCTATGGAATTGGGTTCGCAAACGGTAACGCATTAGGTATATACACACTGGAGAAAGAACAAAGTATTTTATTCAATGACTGAGATTATAGGGGGATGTAGATAAGGCTATTGTCGAAGCTCTCGCCTGGGTCTGTTTGTAGTTGATACGTGAGACGAGGATTCGTATTGAAGGGAGGATTAAGTCTTAGAATACCTCATTAAAGCTTGTACGGTACGTGATACGACATATTTTTCATATGAAACGCGACTGAAATAATTATCGTGACTAAAGCAATTTCAATGTTGTCCGTATATTTTTTTATAAACCTACCCCGTTGAAATGTCATAGATGATGATTTTTATTTAGCAATAAGAAGAAAATGGACATATTTGTTCAAAACTTATATATAAGTGGTATCTCTTTCATGAATTAGGCAACTCATAAAAGTAATACCCGTTATATGAGCGCAATCCGTTCTTATTCTTCGTGGATTCATTGTGGTGTGACGTTTGGGTAACCGGTAGTAATAACACTGTGACTCGGACCGTTGTAAAATAGACTTACTTAAAGTACAAGAAGTTGTTTAGATTAGTTAGTTGTTCTAAGTATTGGTTTAACGCTATATAATAGTATATTAATGTCCTTCGGTAACATTATTATCTTATTATAGTTATGCTTTATAACTTTCTTGATAATAAAAAATAGATAATTATGAGTAGAGTCATATTATAAAACTATTCTGATTTATCTCAGCTGACACAATATTGTTTGACTTCCACACAAATATTTTAATTATAACGGTCTAAATAAAATTCAGAACTAGTTTTGTTAACACTTACCAAATAGTAGACTCCAAATGGCATCACCACAACTGCCACTAAAAGGTCAGCGACAGCTAGACTCACTATAAAATAATTCGTAGCAGTTTGTAAGCTTCGTTCCCTCGCAACACTAATTATAACTAACACGTTACCGAACAAAGTTAACAGCGGGAACACCAACAATGACAGCGCCCAAAAGTTATAACTTTCCACGTCACTAACGCAAGTTCCATTTTCGAATGTGCAATTTGAAAACGTTCCGTTTAACGTTCTCTCGAAATCGTATAGTTCACTGAACGAGTCGTTCAAATCTAATAGCATTCTTAAATTGATCGATCCGGTTCCATTCGCTCTTTCGTGCACAAACGGACGGCTTGGGAACGTCGTATTAGGATCGGGAGGACGAAACCGAAATGCGATTAGTTTGCTTGCGTTCTGGCAACCGGAGCATATGCTGTCGGGTAGTAGTGCCATCTGAATTTCTTGGGCGTCAAGATTTTTCCTTGCGTTATTCATTATTTAAATTCATGGGACAGCTTGATTCATTTCGTAAGTGAGGTCCTGCCATCGTCGTAACGTCATAGCGGTGGTTTGGTTTGTTGTATCATTTTTGCGTTCTTCCAACATGGTGGTTTTCCGAACACCTGTAACAAAATTGGTTGTTATTAAAGAAGCTTGTCCCAAATTTTAGTTTTATTCATTCACTATTCGTACGAAATGTTGGTTAACTGAACGGAAAAAATGTAAATCCGTAAAGTGTTACCGAATCGTATGTTCGACGATTTTGTGAAAATGTGAAAATTGTCGGATATTGGGAGTATTGAATTCGTTAAATGAAGTGAAAGTATCTCATATAACCTTTTTATTCGTGAGTTTGTATTAAGAAAATATTGATGTGAATAATGCTTTACAATATAAATGGTGACGTATTAAAGTATTCTTAATTGTATTTTTAACTTTAGAATTAATATCTTATGCATTTAAAATTTAGATTTAATGTAATGTCAATAATATATTACATTGAATCAAAATTTTATCGCACTCATTTGTTTTCTGTGTTTGGTATCCTGATCAGGAATTCCGATACATATCCGAGTTTAGTTCGAGAAGAGCAGTTTTCTTGAGGGGGGGATATAATGATAAAATATTCGTTATTGTATACAAAGTAGCAACGGACAAAGGATAGCGGATAAAATCACTTGTATGGCAAAAAACATAAAAATCTTAGGAACTACTGAATTTAGTTATTTACCATCACTAGTCTAATAACGTTCCTACTGTTCAGGCTCAGGCCTCCCTATGGATGGATTTGAATTAAAAGCGAATAGGAAAAATGGGCCATGACCCACCACGACGGAGTGCAGATTGGTTTATAGGATTAATTGGATTATTAACGACTGCAGATGCAGTCGGGTTGTCGTGGTTTAAATGTTGTAACGGTGTGTCATACCACCGTTTATTTTTCCTAGGTTTCAAAATGCAAATTCACTGAGTTCGTAAAAAAAATCTTCGGTTGTGAATATGTTGATCATATAAATTTAAAAATATTAATATTATAATTATGAAGATAAGTGTCTAAAATAAAATTAAATAAATTATATCCTGAAACTTGGACAATCTAAGTTTCTATCAAGAAACCCAAAAAGGGGTATGTATTCGTTTAATTTGGTAATTTTAAATTTAGTTTAACATATGAACTGTTTTTATATTCATTTTTTGTTTGTTATAGTTTCTTTACTTTATCCTTTATACAATAAATAAATCCATTCTCAAGCTAGTCAGACATTCATTAATTGGCCCAAGCACCGAACCCGTCACAACTGGCGCCCAACGTGGGGAAATGTGCCTTCCAAGGCACGGAGGAGTTCGAGATAACATATTTTGGTTATCCATCCTATGACCAGCCATGACGAAAATCCTTTAATAACCGTATCACAGACCAAGCGCGCTAACTACTGCGCCATCGAGCTTCAAACAGCTGTAAATAATACGCCAATGCTGCTCCCTGACGATCAGTCCTGCCTTCAATAATAGCGAATCTATATAATTAATTTTAATAACAACTTGATATTATCCAAATAAAGTTTCTTTGTAAATACTAGCCATTTAATATAACTTTTGTGCTTACCGAGATTAGGTTCAAGAAAAAGCATTTAGGAATAGTGGTAATTGCCAATGTTGTTATAAACTCGTTAGCTTTCGTATCAAAATCTAGCACAAACAAAGTCACTTCTCTCTATTTGTACGATGAGATCTTTTAAAGTACATAACGGATTTTGGTGAGGTTTTCTTCAATATACAGAGAGATTCAAGAAGAAGGTTAATATGTATAATGCAGATTTATTAGGTAATATCTCATTATCAGGGTCGGTGATAATGCTTTTATCATCAGTATATGAATGTCCTCGCTGCTGGGCTCAGGCCTCTCCTATGGATGAAAGCGAATAGAGAGAATGGGTCATGATCTTCGCGTGACCAGTCTACATCAGTTGTTTAACTTTCGCATCGCAGACCGAAAGCGCTAACCACTTCACCATCAATCTCCTTATTATTAATATAAGCTATAAATTTCATTATCATCATCAGCTCTTTTACGTTCCCACTGCAAGGGCTGCAGGCATGATGGACCCTTCACGCTGGTCCAATGCAGATTGGAGGGTTAACGGCTTAACGTGCCTTTCGAAGCACAGAATAGCTTGAGGTAATAATTTTTGGTCACCCATCGCGTGACCGAACCCTGCGAAAGTTGCTTAACAATAACGATCGCGGGCAGATTCGCTTATTTGCAGCTACGGATAAATGAAGCAATCGATTATGATTGCCACAATGATATGTATCAGGTACAAACCTCTGGGAATCAATTAAGGCTATAATGACTTGTGGTGTCCTTGACAGACCATCAATTCGAGCCCCAATTTACTATTAACACCGATCTTGATTATCTGTACATAGCAGTGAAATCAAAAAAAATAGTCCCGCTGAGTATTCAAATTTTGCTAGCGTTTTTGGATATTCCAGAGCCGATAATTTCGGTTTTGTAGCAAAAAGACTACACGTAAATTTGGACCGAAACTTTAGTTCAAAGTTAAATGTCATTTGTGAGTTATAGGGTCACCTTCTTCAACGATATGCACAGCTGAGACTGACGGCATAGAACAACCAAATGTTTTTGTGCCTAACTAAAGGTTTTAATTTATTAAAACTAGTAAATTTCTAGAATAATAATATTTCACTAGAGGCATAGAGGCATTAAACCTTAGCTGAAAAGACAAAAAATATTTTGTTTCCATAAGTTAGTGATTTATTTTACCGCACCTTCTTGACCCATGTGCCATATATAAATATACTCGTATATGACACAAGGGTGACTGACATAGTGATCTATCAACGCACATCCCAAACCACTAGACGGATCAGGCTAAAATTTTGCACGCAGGTAGATGTTAAGACGTAGGCATTCGCTAAGAAAGGAAAGGAAGAACAATTCTACCCCCAAGAGGATAAAATAGGGGATGAAAGGTTGTATGAAACTTGGTCAATTTTAAACCGCTCGGGCTGAGACTTTGCATGCATAAAGCTACTATGACGTAGGCATCCTCTAAGAAAGGATTTTGATAAATTTCACCCCTAAGGGGTTAAATAGGGGATGAAAATTTGTATAAATCTTCTTAGATTTTCGACTGATTAAACTGAAATCAAAGATTTAAGCTACAATGATGAAGACATCCGTTTTAATAGGATTTTGATAAATTTAACCCCCATTGGGATAAAATAAGGGATGATGGAGGATGTAAATGTATTAGTTTGAACCTATCAGTACCTAATGGAATGAATAAATAAATATTCGTTAGAAATGCTGCTCAAAGTAACTTTACCAGGCAGTCAAAGTCGCGGGCAAAAGCTAGTTAGATTTATAATCATGTAATATACCTAATTTCATCATTTGAACTGAACCTGTACCCAAAATTTCGTGTTAGGATAACTTACTACATTTAAATTCAGTTGTAAGATTTAAAGTACAAGAAAACTCATTATATTATAATGCAAGTTAAAATACAAACTTAGGAGCTAAATCTATATGTAGTTAGTATCAAGAGAACTTTATTATTCCCCAACTTAAGTAAAAAGGAAAGAATAATCTATTAATATCATTACAAAGAAACTTTCGGAGCTGCTATTAATAATTCCTATTACATCTAATAGATATTGAAGTGGAATAGAAAAGCTAATATTACGCTTATTAGAATTTCAACAAGTCACGAATTGATAAAATGACAGTAATTTTGGCATAAGCAGGAAAAAGTAGACTGATAGATTGTTAGTTTTCTAATTATCTATAATAATGAGTTCTAACTTAGTTTTGGCAGTAGAGATCTCAGTTATGAATCCATTAGTTCGGTACTGAGCTTGACTCCGCTAATATTTTCCAATAATATATAAATTTATGTTTTAAGTAAGGCCAGATTTAATGAGAACAATTATAAGCATCTACATAATTCATGATTATGTAGATGCTTATAATTGTTCTCATTAAAACTCCTGTTTTAAGTTTTTTTTTTACATATTATATACCATCTTTATCAATTTTAAATAGTCATTATAATACACACACACACATATATATAAGCAATAAGAGATAAAACTAACACTAATATACCACACCATTACAAAGCGAATGCACACAAAATATAGCATTTTTCAGCGTCATATTAAAATATAATTCCTTTATTATATTTATAATTTTCTCTATCCGTTCATAACTCAAGTTGGAAAAATTGTCAGTGCTCTTTACAAGCGTACCTTGACATATTGCTAATACATTTTTATTTTATTGATCCGATTGTACTGGAAAATAAATAGATCCAAAAAGAAAAAGAAGCTTTGTGCAAATTTTGTTTTACATAATAGTACATCATAAACATACTTTATACGTTCTTCTTGTTAATTTGTTTATGTACTCCTAGCATCTATATTGTCTTAAATTAATGATTTTTGTAAACAATTGTCGAATGTTTAGAACATCAAATTTCTTATATAACTCATTTGTAGGATATCTGAACTGCTTAAAATTTATAATTTTATAATACCTACACCTAGGTGTCCTTTCAATTTTTAAGAGTGTACTTTTATTGACACCACCCCAGGCAGTAACTCCATATGTATACTATAGATCCATACTATAGACTAACATAGCGATATATATATCTACAATTTCGTTATTCTTTTGTCTTTTATGTCCCCGAATCTTTTAAAAATAGGTATCAGCTTACGTAAAAGAGTTTTTAGATTATTAATGTGAAATTTCCAATTCAGATTTTTGTCTCTGTATATACCTAGATATTTTATATTAGTCGTTGGCCTTATTAAATAGCAATTACAGAAGACCGTTTTATGGCATAAATTGATAATTCAAAATCTGTATAAGGCTGAAGATTATCTCTTAAACTCAAAGTTACCTATATACTTTGTTTTTGATAAACTTAAATTCAGTAGATTCTATTGCTTAGATAATCCTT